CCGGTGTTGGCCGAGGAGGGCAGCGCGGGGCTGGGCGGGCAGATGCACACCGTGCCTGGAGACCTTAATTCTCCCTAAGCCGTGAGGAGGCCTGATCTCAGCAGGGCTGCTGCGTACGTGTGGCGTTCGTAAACCCCCGCCCTCCGCCTGAGGGGAGGTCACCGCCCCGGGCTGCGGTCCGGCACCCGGCCGTGCTCCCTCCGAGCTGGAGGAGCGCGTTGGGAGTCGGGTGCTGGGGGTGCCCGGGAACCGTCGAAGAGAGGGTTTTTTTCTAACGCAAAGAGCTTAAATGGCTTGTTAAAGTCGGATAGAAACATTTCTAGAAACCTGTAGAAACAGTGTTTTTTTTTCTGCAGTGTAGTGTTTGGGTAAGCTCTGAAGAGAAGAGTTTTAAAGAGCTGTGGAGCTTCGGATGCGTCAGGAAAACAAGGGGAGCCTTGGGTGCTGTTGATAGTCTGAAGGCTGTTCAGATGGGGGTGGCCTTCTTCTAAAAATAGTGCGTCAGTAGAACACGAATAGCTAAATGTTGTCACCTAAATAACACTGTAAGTGTCAGTGTGTTTATGTTTCTTCAGTTAAAACTAATGCAAGCAGTAAGATGTTCAGCGGAATGCTGTTATTTTTAGATCTCCAGGGTTTTGTTATGAACGTATTAAAAATGTGATTGGAGCCCTTGAGAGAGAGGCTCAGAGGCTCAGTTTTTGAGAAAAATGAGGATTAATCTAAAAAAAAAAAAAGCTATTCAGAAGCAAAAATGGCACCCATTAAAAGATGGCTGTGTCCTAAATGAAGAAAAAGCTTAATCTTGCGAGCTCATCATACCGAAGGACTAGATCTTCTGAGACTTAAGCTTAAAATGCATTTTTGATCTGTTTTGAAAGATACTCAGCAGTTGAATTTGAGGCTGCATCAGCAGTTGCAACAGCTTTCCAACGCTGCCTTTCTTGTGTTCAGTGTCTGCTGCTCTTGTTCCCCAGACAGACCCCGAGTTCCTTGGCATTGTGAGTGGGTGACCTTCATACTATCACTGAACCGTGATTTCTTAAAGACACTATGATTAACGTGACAAGTATTTCAGCTGTTAAAGACAGACCTGCAAACACTAATTTCCAAGTTTTAGAAAGTTAAAGCTTAATTATCATGATGCATGCTTTGTTCCAGTAGATGTCCAAATTTAGTTATTTGAAAGGTTTTTTATTTTTCAGGAAATTAATTTCTGCTGGATTTGTTTTGGTTTGGTTTTTTTATTGTCTCTATTAGAAACCTGGTTTTATGGTGTTTTATTAATTCCTCTGCTGAGTCCTGGTGTTGAGAACTGAAAGGGAATCTACAAATTGGAGGAAGCAGTTATTTCTTTGTGGCTTGAATCTGTGATATGTTGGGTTGTAGTAATAAACCCTCTTTTTTGCAACTGACATTGTGGCATGGGAAGTAGTGAACAGCTGCTAACTTAACTGAGCCACTGCTGACCGCTTCTCAGAATCCCCTGCCGAGACCCTGTGTCATGGGAGAGATTTTAAACGTCTTAATTTTAGCAGAAGTTTATGGTTCTGTTACCGGGATAAGCTGCAGAAACAGTTATTTAACTTGAATTTTTCTGGATCCCTGTTGGTTTTTGTGGATTTCAGTTTGTTTGAGTAGGATAACATGCAGCTGTGCAAAGTACTTGAGCACAGGATGTTGAGGTCAAAGAGTTTATAGAGGAAAACAGCTGTATAGGGTAGTGCACTGATGTTGGATGCTTTGCTCCGCACAAACAAGGGTATGACTAGATGTGATAAACCTCATCAGCTATCAGTGTTTCATTCCAAGGACTGTGGTGCTGCTCTTTATCTTTGATAATAATTTGGGTTAGTCTAAGGTAAAGATATAATTCAGTGTTATTTACATGACAATCTTGTATTTGATTGTGTCTCTGATAACTAGTTATTTTTTATTATAAACATTTCTGCTTACGTAGGCTGACATGGTTTAAGCTACTTTGGATTGTTCTTGTGGCCTTGGACACTTAAAGGAATAATCATTAGACTGTACACCTAGTTAATTTTTTTTTTGTTAACAAGAACTTTCAGTAACTTTTTTTTTAAATATAGTATCTAAAATTTTGCTACTTTTATCTGCAATGTAAAAGTATAAACTTCCATCTGCACTGAGGGATTCTAGAACAGGTCACTTCATCAGGAGGTAGCCTGTGGTTAGAGGGAAGTATTCAGCTGTTACAGGTAACCAGTCCAAACCTTTGTGAAATTCATTAACATTGTGGCTAGTCTTTATCAACTACATTAATAGAACTATATTTGATACGTTTCTTACTATAAAAGGATGTTACTGTCCTTTTCTTAACTTTAAGATGTTATTTTACTATTAACAGTTATTTTGCTTGCAGCCACACTGAGAAGTGTTGGGAAGAGTACTGAAATCCTGAGTTTGGAACAGAGGGAAGGGTATACTCCTCCCCCTGATGATAGGCATGTGAAGTTTATCATGAGGAAGATTTCGGTTATTTGGTGTATTTTTATAAAAGCAAACTTAGTGATATTCTTGGGGGTAAAGATTTGAATGATTGCTTGTGATGGAAGACACTGAAACACAAACTTATCTGTAATGTAGTACTACAAGAAAATAGGGGAGGGGGGAGGTAGGGGACATTTAATTTAAGCCCCCTCACTATGGTGGTTTGTGATACACCTGCCAGGTTGTACAGACTGTCATCTGTTTTCTGGGAGCTCATAAACAGGGAGGAGGCTGCAGGCTGGGTGGTTTGTTGTTGAAGGACTGCAGCTCCTGTCTTGCTTCTTGCCGTGTGATTGTGTACCCAGGGTTGGGCCAGGTGGTGACTTAGGGCTGCTGCACCTTCGGTGGGAGGAAGCTGTGCCAGGTGGCCTCTTGTGTTTTGATCATCTGTCACATAGTTCCCCAGGCCAATAGGCAGCCTTGCCAATGAAGGGAAAAAGGTAGGAAAAACATTTTGGGGTTTTGTTTCTATGTTTTTCATGACTTTTAGATCACAATGGTAGTTATAGACAGTGGTATTTACCAGACTTCACTACTAATGGTATTGCTAGCTTGGAGAAAAGGAGGCTGAGGGGAGACCTTGTCACTCTACAACAACCTGAAAGGAGGTTGTAGCCAGGTGAGATCGGTCTCTCCTCCCAAGTAACAAGCAATAGGACAAGAAGAAATGGCCTCAAGTTGCACCAGGGAAGGTTTACTTTGGATGTTAGGAAGAATTTCTTCACCAAAAGGGTTGTCAAGCACTGGAACAGGCTGCCCAGGGAAGTGGTAGAGTCCTCATCCCTGGAGGTACTTGAAAGATGCGTAGCTGTGGTACTTAGGGACATGGTTCAGTGGTGGACTTGCCTGTGCTAGGTTAACAGTTGGACTTGATGATCTTAAAGGTCTTTTCCAACCTAAACGATTCTGATTCAAATAATGAATAACTTACTGTTTATGTTGTACTGTTGCCCAGTACAATGTAAAGGCAGTTGCAACACTTGTTTCCTGTCAGTTTTATACTTAATTTGATCTCACATTTCTACCAATGCCACAGTATTTGTAACATGGGATAAACTACCTTGTGTTAAGATGATGCCCTCCAGCTCCTTTACTAAAGCAAGAAAATGTATAAATTGTTTTCAATGTATTTTCCTATCGTTTTTGTGTGGGATGTAATACAAGGATTAATTTTTTTCAAAGCTAATAAAGGCTTTTGTGGCATTTTATCTGGACAGGAGGGGAAAGCAGACAGATGCTTGTGAGTGCCCCATGGCTGCAGCTGCCTCAGTTCATTCATTTATTGCCTATTGCAACTTGGAAGCATTTTTTAGGTAAGAAAGCTGCTTCAAAGTATGTCACACTGTTTATAAGCTTATACTTAATGCTATTCTGTGTTGAATCTCTAAATTGCATCTCAATGTTTTACACTCTCAATTATAATGTTATTTATGTATTCTGTTTACATGTGTCATTATAAACCTACCTTTTATGTGTTAGAAACTGACAGCACTTTTGCAAATGAATTTTATGTGCCATGCAGAGTTAGCAAAGGGACAGTCTGCTCCTTTCACAGGAGAACGTGTAATACTTCTAGACTGTTTCTGCAATACAAGGCCACCATAAATTACAAGCTTCTTCAGATGCCATCTCTGAGCAGAGTTACTCATGTATATCAACTTTCTAATTATAGACAAGCATGACTATGCAGCTCTTCCATTTTCTGATGTGTGAGCTGAGCAACAGCATTACTTGCACAGATTTCAGTACTTGAGTTTGATTTTGCTTAGGAGATGGAGGCTGCTTCTCTTGTTGGATTCATAATTAACCCATATACTACACCTGTGTTAAACTTTACAACTATAAAGCTGATATTCACTTGGTAGTTTTTCAAAAGATGATGATATGACCTGGGAGAATGTAAAGCCTCAAGTCTCCCATCTTTTAAAGAAAAACAAAAAAGTTCAGTGTTAGAAGGTTTCTAAAGATGTTATTACTGGTTGAACACAATACTTTGTAAACAGCTTCAGTTTCTAAGTCTACTTTTTTGTTTCAAATCTGTCATGATTTAGTAAGATATGTGTTGCTGTTCCTATAGCTTTCCATTAAGCCATCTTCAAATAATGTAAAATGGGTAACTGAGTTTGGAGGTTTTGGGTATACTTTCTTATAGCAGGCCAAGATACTCTTTCATAATAGGACACAGGGTAGGTTTTTTTGTATTAGTATATGGGAGGATATTTGTACCTCATCGCCATCTATTTTTTTCCCCCCATACAAAATTTAATTAGCCAAAATTGTTTGTTTACTGTCAAGACTATCAGGATGCAGTAAGCATGCTTTTGGGGTAAAAGTGTGTGATATTTAAAGCCAAGAGTCCTTAAATTTTAAAATATTAGAAGTCATATATTTAAGTATAACTATTTTGGTTCATGTGTTTTTGGTATACACTAAGCTGAAAAAAATCAACATTTCTTATCCAGGTTTGTAATTTCTTTAGGTAATATTCAAGAATCCAGAGGTGTGCCTGTGTTGCATATGAGTACTGATGGGACTGAAATTGTAGCTAATGCAAGAACTAGTTTTGTACCAGGAATTACATCCTCCCATTAGTTAAACAACAGTTTTCAGATAACGTTTGGTTAAACTAAATTGCTTGTCACACTGTGGTGTTCTACTGCCCTGCACTGCAATGTGTACTATTCATCTCAGTCCTTGTTCCAAAACTGATTTTAGTCCCTCCTGTGGGTCTCCCAGATGTTACAGAAACAGTTTTTCTTTGGTCGGTGGCTGCACAGGTCAGTTCATCTCCTGGGACCCATCCCTGCCTTCTGGTTAAGGAATCCATGCACACATACAGGATGACTCAACAGTGGGATGGATGTTCAGATACCAGAAAGGTGCTGGTAACTTGACAGGAACTTCCACATTCTTTGGAGGTATGTGTGCATGTAAACCTCTCATTGAATATTAACTGGATTTAACCACATGGAACTATAATTTAGTTAGCTTCAGTTGTGTTTTAAAATATATACTGTTCATAGTTTAAAGATTCAGAACGAAATAAGCATTCACATTTTCACAGTAAATATTAGGGCTTCATGTTTGGTAAAAACTTTATGATATATAACCAATGGAACCTTTTTATGGCTTTGCATCCCACAGTGAGTAATACAATGTAATTTTGCTAGATCTAAAGTACTGCAATATGGAATACTAACAATAGAAATTCTGGAGTTACCAGTATTAAAGGAATGTAGCAACAAGTGCAAGTTAATGGCCACATTCCATCAGCGAGAGCATAGATACTATGTACGCCATGCATACCTTGTCCCGTCTCTTCGTACATCTGGACTGGATATGCTGCTCCTGGTCTATAGCCTGGTTTGTGTTTTAGAGGAATGCCCTTTTTGGTAGTTGTCAGATGCCAGAGGTTATTTGTGGGAGCCAAAACAGCACCTGTGAAGCTCGTACAAATTTCAAATAAGAAAGTGAAAATTTCCATTTTTATCAGAAGCTTAAATTTTACACAGGTGTTGCAGTTTTCATTAAGAATAGCAAAAGCTTAGAGAAGCTTCTCGGACAACAGCATTTGCTTAATTTCATATTTTGTTCTGGACTTTAGTTATAGGAAACAGCTAAATTTGTAATTCCTCCCAAAGAAGGAGGAGGGGGGGTGAAAAAAAAGCAGGTATTTGACTCAATTTAGCCTTTGCTGAATTTAGCAAGGCTGTGAGCATCTAGAAGAGAGAGTTATGTAATGGTTAAGTACTACGTCCACATCTAATGCTTTGGAAAGCCCATTCATTGTGTGACTTGAAGCACTCAAAAGTCTTAAAACATGGTTGTGTGGATGAGAATTTGATAAAATGCACTAGTAACAAAATATTTGTTCATGCTGAGCTTGCATCTTCATTACGTAGTAACACTAATGTGTTGTTAGAAATATTACTTCGTTTTGGAGCATATTGTTCTTCCTTCTCGTTGACTCGCTGCCTTTGTTAATGTGAGGGACATGTGTCTATTCAGGGAAGAAAAGCTTTATGTTATTTAATATAATGTAGAGAGTATTGCTAGCTTATCCTTCTACGTATGTTACCTATCGGTATCATAAATGGAACTTTAAAGAGACTGAGTGAAGATTTCTAATGACTGCTAGAATAAATTCCTGGATGGTTGAGACGGTTTGTCAGTAGTGAAGCTGGTCATGTGAACAGCTCTTGATTAATTGGCTAGGTTGTTCTTTCTCACTTCTCAAAGTATGCATATGCTTTCTTTTCATAAAAATGAAGTTATACTTGCTTGTTAGACACCTCATCAGCCGTACAGATTGGGTTTTATAAGTTAGGGAAAATGCCAGATAAGTTTTTTGAAAGCATAGTCTGTTTTGGCAGCTGTTTCTGGATTTGTGGTTTGGTTTTGTTTTTTTTTTTCCCCCCATAACGAAGATACTATGGAAAACTTTCAGTCCAGAAAAAGCATGCTGTGAGGGTTGCCGTGGAAGATTGTTCAGTAAAAACAGATAATGTGTTCTGTTTGTTCTTGAAGAATGCATGGTTGCTTTGAAAATTTTAGCTTCAGACTGGTTGGGAGGAGACATGGTCTGGCTGAACACCTAATTGGTAAGACATTTGAGAAGGGGCCTCATCCCACTGTAAAATGAAGTGGCATTTGAAACAGTTAGGACAGTTGTTGAGGATTGACTGAATAACAGAATTCAGTCTGTAATGGCCTTGAGTAGATTGCACTGCTTCAGCATGTGAAAGCAGAGCTCTTCCTTACGCTGCTCTTTTCTGAACTCTGGCTCATGTGGCAAACATTCCTCAGTGAAGTACATTCATGCAGTTTGCTGTATACCAAGGTCCCTGTCCTTTTCTTTTTTTTGAAAAACAACATGTGAACCTTACTTTGCCCTGTTCTGATAAGTAGCCTCTGAAGTTTTTTGCTCTTAGTTGTGCAAACATTTTTTCCTCTGCCTGGCATGATTTAAAAAAAAAACAAACCAAACTAAAAACCAACAAAGCAAAGCAGTGGAAGTGGGCAGAACTTTTTAATCTGACTCTTCTGAACACATCTGTTCCAAGTTCATCAGTGTTTAAAAGGGTATTTATGCATTGGGTTCTGTAGTTGATAAACTTCTTTTAGGAATCGTGAGTTTGTTTGGATAGTTTGTCTGCTGAGTTTAAACTTAAACATACACAATTTGCTACTGCTAAACTAAATTGCTGTTAAATACTTTTTTTTTTTCCTGCAAAGTGCTTTATATACTATGAAGTACTAACACATGAAACTATGCTTGGTAAATTAAAATACCCAAGTTCTCCAGATTCATATCAAGTTATACAAAATAAAAAGTATCAAGAAAGAAGGTCCTTGCTAACATCTGTGCGCTGGATATTGACATATGGACTTACTTTTTTTTCATATTATCATGCTATATTTAAATTTTACTAACTTGTTATCTCTTACTGTGTTTCCATTGCCTTGTCTACCTTCCTCCCCTAATGTTCTGTATTCTTCTAGAGGCCTACTGTACGTGAGACCTTTCAAGAAACTGTGCAGTTTGAATACATCAGATCGTTCCAGTACCTGAAACTGTCATGATGAAGAGAGCTAGGCAGAAAGTTGTGGTTGAAAATGAAGCTTCTCAAACATCACAGAAAAGCAAAAAACAGAAAACTTGTTTATATGGCTCAGTGTTTGGTGAATCTGACTTGCATGCCTCGATGGACTGGGGAAGCCTGCCACACCATGTTATTCTGCGTATTTTTCAATTTCTACCTTTAGTAGATCGAGCCAGGGCATCTTCTGTTTGTCGAAGGTGGAATGAAATTTTTCACATCCCAGATCTTTGGAGAAGATTTGAATTTGAACTGAGCCAGCCAGCTACTTCTTACTTAAAGTCCACACATCCTGATCTCATTCAGCAGATTATCAAGAGACATGCTGATCATCTGCAATACGTCAGCTTCAAGGTAAGTCTTGGATCAATGGAGGCTTGTTTTGTCACGTTACTATGCGTAATATATACAGCTTCTCTGTGTCGGTTGGCTCACGTGCTGTACCTGGGAAGTCTTCTGTTTAAAACTGCAACAGTTTATTTCTGTGCATGCACACAGTTTCCTTCCACTTTCTACATTAATCTCTACAAAGTACAGGAAGAGCTAATGTCATGCAATATAGTGCTGGGGACAGAATATACAGAACATGTAGTTTCTGTGAATCGATGTTAGTAGCAATCTGAGTACTCAGATTATTGTGCAGATAAATATTTCTGACATGTGGAAGCATTTGAGGAAATAAATTTGTCTTGTGTATATAATTTGTTTGTAAAGTAAGGCTGTACAGTGAAGAATGTCTTGAAATTTTAGAACCATGCTTGTATGAGTAAGGGAGAAAGATGCTGTGCCCATACATTCAGATGATTGGCACATAAGGACATAATTAAATAACAGTAAACTTGTTTTAAATGAATACTATGTTTGTAGTCTCAGGATTGCATAAATGCAGGGCTTCTTTCATTTGAATATTTGGTACAGTTTACTCTGTTTATCTGAGAAGATCATAGTTGGAATTACAGGTGCTTTGTTCACTTTTTTGCAGTCACTCCTCCTTAGAGGATGTCATAGTTCTAAGCTGTGAAGGAAAAGCAGAAGAAAGGATTGATATTAAAGCTAGGATGAAAATCAGAAGCTTCTTTTTCCTCAGCACTAGTAGCAGGTTTACATTTGGAGACATCGTGATTGGGTTGCATAGCAGTTCATGGATAATCAGTTATTAAATACCTGTAACTTCTGTGCTTCATGTAACTGATTATAATGAATTTGCATAATAATGTCTTAATGCAACTTTTATGCTTTTTCAGCTACTCTTTTACCATCTCAGCTACTGCAGAGGAGGAAGGTGAGATGAAATAGTGATTTGTCCAAAGGTAGTCATCAGGCTTATAGATGAATTGAGAATCAGTTCATTATTCAAGATGCAAAGGTGGTGTCCCCAGGTAAAATGGATTTGTTTGCTGGAGGGTATCTAGGCTTTATCAAGTCTCTTTTTGGCTCTAATAGTCTAGAATTGGCGTTTTAAAAAAGATGTATACATACCACTATCTATCATAACATCAGTACTAATTACAGTTGTTTAGGAAGGCATGAGGTTATTTGAAGAGCAGGCTTAGATTTAAGCTCTCTGTTCATACTAGCAGTACCCAGCAGTCATACTCAGGAAAACTTTCTGATAGTAACTTTCCTGAACTCTTTTTTTGTCTTTAAATTTCTAATTAACGTTGCGCTTTGTCCTTGTGGTAAATGCAGTCTGGTGCAGTACGGCTGAGTGGGTGTGGAACTTGCGGTCTTGGGCATCCATGATGCTATTTTTAAATAATAATAAAGACTGAGTTCATTATTTTTAAATTGCTTTTATAGGTTGATAGTAGTACTGAGTCAGCAGAAGCAGCCTGTGACATCCTTTCTCGGTTAGTGAACTGTTCTATCAAGACACTGGGTTTGATTTCTACAGCAAAACCAAGCTTCATGAATGTCTCTAAGGTAATGTTCTACAAACTAACTAGAGTGACTTAATTCACTTGTAAACCACCTCAGCTTTCTTACTGTGTTGTTATTCAGTTGATGATAATTTTTATGAAAGTCTGTATTTATTGGCATATGTTCTTTCATTTGTGGCGTCCATTAGTATTAGGAAAATAGTTAAACATTGATTCCATTCATTAAATTTAGTAATGTTGATACTTTGTGGTGTAGAGATGGGGGATAATTTAGAAGGCTTGAGTTTTCCTCATTTCGAGGTTAAAAGATACAATGACTGCATGCTGCGACATATTGTTAAAATATTTGGGAGATTTTTTTTCTTTGACTATATAGGTCACAGCAGAGTTACTTTCTGGAAAATAAAATAAATGCCATTTCCTTTTTTCTGCAGATAAATTCTAGATACTTCAGGCTCATCAGTATGTCCACTTATCCCTGTTTTGTTACAGTGAGAAGCACTGTACAGAGTGGATGAGTTAACTACTAAGTGTAAAGTTAATTTTTGTCGCATGCAACAGCATATTTTTAAACAAAGATTTCTTATGTTCATGTTCAAATAAGCCTTTCTTTGTTACACAAGAAAGCGAATGCCTAAGAAGGGATTATTTTTGTACTTTCTGTGTGTGCAGAACCTGAGGTTTAGATGCTGAAGTTCTGCCTATCTTTTAACAAGATTATTTTTTTTTCTCTCTTTCAATTTCTTCAAAACAGGCTCATTTTGCTTCAGCGCTGACAGTAGTTTTTGTAAACTCCAAATCATTATCATCAGTCAAGATAGATGACACACCACTTGATGATCCTTCCTTGAAGGTTCTTGTTGCTAACAATAGTGATACTCTGAAACTGCTAAAAATGAGCAGCTGTCCTCATGTATCACCTGCTGGTGAGTAGAGAATATATATGGAAAATGTAGCAGTAAAGTATCGTAAAACAATAGTCAAGACTTAGTTTGAAACAAATTATTCATAAAACTCCTAGTGCTCTTCTGAGTCTCTCAGCAGAGGTGTTTTATTGACCTGGTCTTGGCTTTGGACAGTTGGAAGGGGAAGAAGAATACTGTCTTTGTGTTACTGAATGAGTTGGATTAATGAAGATGGAGGTGCTCCTTGCTTGACTGCATCTTCTGAAATCCTGGGGATTTTTTTTACACTCTTCTCAGCCGCTTCAGTACCTCTGATGATAGGCCTTGAGGAGGAAAAGCCTCCAAAATTAGTGCAAACCTTCAACTCATGTTCCAGGGACATGATGTTCATTGCCAGTTCTATGAAAGGGTAACCAAATGGTGTGCTGCTTAACATGTGCGACTTTGAACTTTACTAACAGGCGTTTTGAGGGAACACACATGCAAAATCCCCAACCCATGAATCAGCTACTGGTTGGTGGGATAAAGGAGATGAAAGCAGTTGTCAATAACTGTTTTGCAAGGTTGTGTGAGTTTAACTTACTGAGCAAAAGTGTTACTACTTCAAAGTTTTATTTAAAAAAACATGGAGTGTGTACAAATTTGAAAAACTGGTAGTGTAAGATTGAGAGGCTTTCAGTTTTTGTAGTGCCCTCGTGTGTCCCGATCTGGTAGTATGAACTTGCTTATTTTAGCATTGGTTGGTGAAGGGCTCACTCCCTTCAAAATACAGGCTTACCAGAAAGTTCAGAGGGCTTTTGGGTCCCTTCTCACTTACCTTTCTCCTGAAACCTTGGTGCTAGGGAAAGGGAGTCCTAGTCTGGTCTCTTTCCTATATTCTTTTCCAGAGTCCACAAAAGATTTAATCTGTGTACTTTGTATTCCAACAGATTAAGAGCAGTTAAGTTGTTTGTGTCTTAATTGAGGGAGGGAATCTGTTTCAGTATAGCTCTTAAACTAGGTTGCTGGTGGTCATTTAAATAGAATGCTTAGATGAATGCTGAAGGAAGGAGTATTAGGGAAGGGAACAGTGGCAACTTCAGCTGAATCTTACCTGATTTCAGTTGCTTCTTTAAAGTTGAGGAAATTCTGCCCAGGGAAGGATAAAGAGGAAAAAAGAGATGCAGATCCAAGGTGAATGTGACTAGTTAGACTTGTTTCTTTTACTGATAAGTGTTTATGGCCAAAACCTCATAAAAGGATGTGGATATCTATCACTTTATGATATTTCATGGGTCTTGCATATAGGCATGAATACTCAAGCCAGTAGAATTATTACTTGCTTGAGCTTTACAGCAAACAACTGTGCTTGTATTCACTTCTCATTTTACAGAGTAATTTTTTTGTTCCTCAGGAATTCTTTGTGTTGCTGACCAGTGTCATGGACTTAAGGAGCTGGCTTTGAACTACTACATATTAAGTGATGAACTGCTGCTGGCTCTTTCAAGTGAAAAACATGTTGATCTCGAACACCTACGCATAGACGTTGTGAGTGAAAATCCTGGACAAGTTGAATTTCACACTATCAAAAAGCAAAGCTGGGATGCTCTTGTTAAACACTCCCCCAAAGTCAACATTGTGATGTATTTCTTCTTATATGAAGAAGAATTTGATGCTTTCTTCCGAGAGGAAACCCCTGTTACACACCTTTACTTTGGTCGTGCAGTAAGCAAAGCAATGTTAGGTCGTATTGGCATGAATTGCCCAAGGTTAATTGAGTTGGTTGTGTGTGCTAATGGACTTCAACCCTTGGACGACGAACTTATTCGGATTGCTGAGCGCTGTAAGAACTTAACAGCGATGGGACTTGGTGAATGTGAAGTAACTTGCAGAGGTTTTATTGAATTTGTAAAGATGTGTGGGGGCAGGCTTACCCAGCTTTCTATAATGGAGGAGGTACTGATTCCAGATAATGATTATAGCTTAGATCGACTTCATCTGGAAGTCTCCAAACACCTTGGAAGAATGTGGTTTCCTGATATGATGCCAACATGGTAAATTCTCTACATTTGTGGATAAAGTGATAGAATCAGGGTGTTGCTTTCTATGCAAATAAAGAATTTAAAATTAAAATGTGAAAACTTATTTCCAGATTTGAGTTCTTCTACCTTGAGAACCTCAAGTAGTGTAACAGCAAATCATCCTAGAATGTTAATTGTATACTGAAATAGAAAATAGATTGTGCACTTAACACTTCTGAAAGTATGTCTGTGGTTTACAGGTGCTTCAAACTGCAGTAAACTTGGGCTTCTTTGAGCTTCAGTTTAAATGATCCATTCATATTAAAGGTTTGGGGTTTTTTTTTCATTTCTTTGTTTAGCCTTTCCAATGTAGTCAGAAGAGGACTAGAGAAACTTTTTTCCTTTAGGAAATCTGTCTTTATGGGAAGCTGGATACATCTTGGAGTTCAGTATTATTTGTCATGAGGTTTTATGCAGCTGTTTTTCAAAATATTCATGTAATAAATGTAAAAGCTTGTATATTAAAATACTTATACTAGCCCAGGTTACTCAAATATAATCTAGTGTAAACTCATGCCAGTATATTAAAATGTTGTGGTAAATAAGCTTCTGCTTACAAAAAACCTTTCCAGTTTTAAATTGCACTTTAAATAATTTTGCCAGCTCAGCTAAACTGTAGAGACTGCATTGTACAGTTTGTTGGGTTTTTTTGTCTTATGCATTAAATGGATAGGAAAGAGACCTTGTTAAAATTAATGAATTTAAAAGTTTGGATGTAGATTCATTGCTTGGATGAATGACAAAGCACTGTGGAAACTGCCAGAGTGTAAGGAGTAGCTTCTGGATTTGGGAGAGTTCAAGTCTTTGTAGTCAAAGACTGACATCTGAATGCTGTTCCATTCTTTCGTTATTACGAGATAAGAAGGATTCCATAGATGTGGCTAGTGAGAAGGAAGGATGAAATGGAGTACAGTTGTCTTTGATAATTTTCTATCTGTAATCAGGGATTTAGAGCACTTAAAATAATTTGTTTGCCAATTAGAGACCAAAATGGCCTGTAGTAATCTTCCCTGTGTCTCGCAGGGCTGTGCTGTAAGCCCTGATTTCTAGAGTAAGGGTTGCTAGAAGCGATCCTGAAACTTTTTAATTCAGGACTGTTTAATACTTGTTGCTATTAATTGATTTTTGAGGAAGCAGATTTTATTTCTTTATGTTCTTTAAAAGGGACAGCAATGGTGAGTTGATGTGAATTAGAGTATGTATTTTTGTGCTGACATTTTTGCACAGTGTGAACTGAAATACATTGTATACAAATTTTGCTGTAATTATTTTCATGCTGTAGTTGTTCTGTCTTCCTATTTATAATGAGAAGTCTACATTTGATTTGTTGGTGGTATTTGTCACATCAGATAAAATGTCAGTTTCTTCCACACTTATACTTCTTTACTGCAAAAGTAACAGCTAAAGGGTGAAACCACCATCATCTTTTACAGACTTGTTCCCAGTTGCAAGCTAAAGGGTTTAAGATAACATACAATGCCTGTCTGAATCAGTAATGCATTACTGCCTGTTGCACAGCCAAGAAACATCTGACTCTGGCTACTAGCACCTGTTACACGAGCACTTGCTTCCATTAGCAAAGGGATTATAATTGTCTTTTAACCAAAAGACTGAAATTGGTTTAGATGTGTGGTTTGCTTTAAATGTAAACATAATAAAGTGATCTAACACGTGCACTGATACTAGACTCGTATCCATCTGTTGCACCACGTCCTCCTGTTAGGCAGGGTTCTGTCCTATTAGAAACTGTATACTTGACAAACCTGGGGAGAGGCAGTTGAAATGTTTAACTCTTGGGTTATAGCAGATCAGCCATAGTCGCTTCAAGTTCGTGCCTCAAACTTGAGGATTTTTGACGTGCTAAAACTGTAAAACGGTATGTGGACAAATCTTGCAGATAGTTGGCAAGTCCTAGAGTCCTTCATGTCTCTCTAGCCAGCATAACAACATTAATGAAGTATCAAACACTAGTGGCTATATATAGAGAAATATAGTTCAGGAGGAAACTGTTAAGACCCTTCTTTGAATATTGTCCCTTTCTCTGTCCTTCTTACTAAAGCAGCTTTTCTGTGAAGCCATGAGTGTTAGCTTGCTCCAGCTCCAAGCTTCTAGAAAAATGGACCTGCGTACATTAAAGTGGTTTTTGATGCAGTAATTTTTTTGTGCATTCGCTCTGCTGACTGATCTTAACGGGTAAGACCAATTGATACTTGAGTTTATAAGTAAATGCCAACAAAATTGATACATTAGTCTCAACGTGAAATACTGATTCTTCACTGGTAGTGTGGGAAGCTAATTTTACTTGAAAGGTAACTTCTGACTAGGTTAATATTGAATTTCGTAGTTTTAGTGTTAGATTTGTTTAGTGTCATGTGTTGGTGCTATGGTATATACATTGTGCTTTGGGGAGGAGTGTCAAAACACTGCCCTGTGTAAAAGCAGCATTATTTTTTTCTCTTCCTTCTTAAGTAGGTCTTTCTGAATGAGTGCAGTGGAGGGTGTTGCATTTGTGAAGAACCTGTAGATAGCTGCCTGCTGCCTGTACTTCCTCCTATCCCTTGAGTAGCCTGTACTTCAGAGCTCTGCCTTATCCTAGCTAAGGCAAGTTTTGTCAATTTTTATTGGCTTTTCCTAGCTTTACTGCCCTGCAAAGGCCTTCTAAAACCCCGTCTCTAAAGCATATAAGGCAATGATACAGTTTGTTAGAGTCACTAAAACGCTCAAAGTACAGGATTTACACCTGATATGCTAAGGAGATTTGTAGGGTCACTAAAAAGTCCACGTTACAGTGCGAAGCTAACAGTAATGCACCTTTTCTGCCACACGAGGGACTGAGCTGGTTTTTGTGCTCGCTGTTTTTTCAGACTCTGAGAAAGCTTATAATTAGTCATTGCTAATTTCCTGATTCTCTTGCAAATGCAAATTACAACAAAAGCTCGAATCTTTTTTTCCTTGTGTGGAGTCCCTTTTGCCATCCAATAGAGACACCAGTTCTGGCATGACAACTCCAAACAGCATCTTTTCTGCCTTGTGGAGTGTTTGAATAAATTTTCCCTCTTGTTTTCCTCAGTTCAAGTGCCTTCAAAACCTAAAGTAATCTTGTTTGCCAAGGTGTAGTAAAGTTCATCAGTTAGCCTAAGATACAATGTTCACAACAATTACAGGTACTAAAAAACAAGTACCTAATTGGTACCTGGAACATAGATTAATGTTAACACCTTGCAATATTATGCAAGGCTCAAAGTATTGAATCAGTAGTAATATAAATTGTTGTTGTGCATGAGAAGAAAAAACAACTTTTGGATGCTGAGATGAATTTATTTGGAATTTACTACAATTCCATTTCACACTCTTTGCCCTTTCCCCCTTTGGAGATTGCTAGTAGGATCTGAGCGATCACAGTTCTCAACGTGAATATGAGATGTGATTCCAGGAAATACTCTTTGCATTGGCAACATTTTCCCAAGGACTTGTCCCTTAGAAATTCTACCGTTGTATCTGATGGGATGGATGCAGAGTAGTTTTACACAGAAGCCTGGTGAAAACAAGAGGAGGGAAGACATCAGAACTGATGAAGCATTTGTTCTTCTGCACTAGCTCTGTTTCAGAAATAGGAAAGTTTTCTCTCATCCTTTCCACTGAGAAAGCAATAGTGGAAATAATAAAATAGCAAAGACACTATGGTCAAAAAAGTAGAGATAGTGGTTGGAGTTGTTGGCTTGGTGGAGGAGAGGAGATGGGAGGCAGGGAGGAGGTGGGAATTCCTGCTTTAATAAAGAGAAGAGCTTGAAGACATTCTATAGAACTCAATTATTTGCGTTCTAAAATATGAGCAAAAAATTCTGCATGTAAATGGATAGAAGATGCAGTGTTTCAGAACTTGCATCTTGTTTAATTACTTCGCTAGCTGCAATGTAGTACATCCTATATGACCTCAAGACAAAGAATATTAAATGAAAAATAGCTATTTACCTGATCCACTGATTTGGACTCCATCATCAATGGCATTTCCATTGTGGAAGAATTTAATGGGTCCAGAGAGCTGGCCAGAAAAGGGAGCATACACGGTTTGTCCATCAGCACAGATGACATCCACGCCCACATGCTTTCCTTTACCATTTTGTCTGAAAACAAATACACAATTAAAAAAGTCTGTTGTCAGGCCTAACGTTATATAGAGATAGATCAGGTAGCACACTGCAAGATCTGGAAATGGGTTGTTAGTACTGAAACAGTATTGACACAGTTGACTGGCTGAAGAATCTGTAATTTTTTGGTGTACGTGATGTAATGCCATGTAGGGTTCATGAGCTGTTAAGAGTTGCAGTTTTGCAAATTGGAGGAAAAAAAATGCCTTTCTTGCAAGCCTTTAAATAGAACTGTAGAGTTGCAGAAATGTTGGTTGGCAGGTACCTGTGGAGGACATCAAGTCCAACCTTCCACTTGAGTCAAGACTCTTCCCAACACCACGTCAGGTCAGGCACGGCTTAGTCCAAGTCATAAAATCCTCCAAGCACAAAGGTTTTATGAACAATGTAGGCAGCCTGTTCTGGTGCTGCATTACCCCTGTAGTGAAAATGTTTCCTCGTGTCCAACCTAAACCTTCAAAGCTCTAATTCTTAAGTGGCTTAAACAGAGTTCAACTATTTCAGTGGAGGAGCAATAAAACCCCAAATGTTCCAATTATATAGTACCTTGGAGCTCCGTAGTATCCGCAGCCGTACCTATCGCAGCCTCTTATCTCATTTGTAGGATTCCCGGCGCACACTGTTGCCCAGCGTGTGTCTTGTTGTGGGAATGGTGGAACAACTTTGAAATACAGAAACACAGCATGTCGAAGTTAACTTTTAGGTTCTATTGTAAGTGTTGTATGTTTGTAACTACTATGTTTTAATTTTAGTTGGGTAGGAATGTACTGGAATTACATCCCAAGCATGTAGTTGGGCATTTTGTGCACAAGATTTGTCATCCTTTAGGAAATGTAAATAGCACGTACACCTAAGACTGGATTATAATATTTCTAGATTATGGTTATCTCATACAAAGAACATGCTTTAAAGATAAAATTTTTTTAAAAAGTATCATGGTTCCTAGAGTGTAATCTGAGAGATGGGAAAAGACTCAGTTTTATTTCTTATTCTGTGGCCAGGCTGATGGGACTGGACTCCTGAAGTCCTCCTCTCCATTACTACCAACATGGTATTTGTATTTACAAAGAATCATCCCAAAGTGTGCTAAGATGCAGTACTGAAAATATTGCTGGTAGTTAAAACCATAAAAACAGAAGAGAGGTCTGACTCAGTTTATTGCTGAGACTTGATGCTGCTGTGTCATGTAGGGGGACAACAAATACAACTTGTTAAGCTGATACATTCTCCTTCCTGTAACTGTATACAGTCCTGTTTGCTGTATTTATAACATTTTCTTCCCTTTGGATGTTGCTGTCAGGGAGAACCTAAGCCACAGGGGACTATTGCTATGTGCTATTGTTTTCCTTATTTCAAATTAATTAATAACTTAATTTTCATTATACTACTTATTCTGGGTAGAGTTTTGTGGGTTTTTTGGGTTTTTTTTGTTTTTGTTTTTTGTTTTTGTTTGTTTTTTTTTTTTTTTACCAGGCGTAAGTAGCTGAGTAGGATCAGAGTGGTCGCAGTTCTCAACATGGATGTGAGAGATAATGCCAGGAAATACTCTTTGCATTGGCAGCATTCTCCCAAGTTGTTGCCCTCTCTGGATTTGGCCGTGG